TTGATCTTTTATATATTTTTTATATATATATAGTTTTTTTTATATATATATATATATATATATATATTTATATTTTGTTCTTAATAACAATAATAATAGTTTTGTTCTGATTCTGATTCTGATATATCATCAATTAATTTAAATAATTTTATTTTAATTTCAATTCATTGATTTATCATGTAGTTGTATAAACATCAGAAAATGCAACATGAGAAAATGAAACATAGCTGTTTGCAGAGCCTAAGAAAAACCTGAACTCAAATCTTTTTGTCCGACCAACAGCCCAAAACCCAAAGACATTCAGACAGAAAACAGAGAAAAGCATTTGAAGCTGAAACCAGAAAATATTATTTCTACTGATAAATGGATTGGTTGACTAATTGTCACAGCTCTATGCAGAATGCTAAATTTCCAGCAGCTCAAAGCTATAAATTCACACTGACTGAAAGCATGCAATGACAGCCATTGCTTCATTAATGTGCTCGGTTTGTAGGTCTGATTATGGTTTGTCAGACCAAGAAGAAGTCACTGTTCACAAAACTAATAAGAGCCAGCAGCTAACAACAATCTGGTCTGACATAAGCGAGCGGTGTGCAGGAGCATTGGTTTCAAGCCAAACAAAAACTAATGCGCACAATATGGTTTTATCAAGATTTGTTCTTTTTATTTATTTCAAAATATTGTCAATTATTGGTTAAAAACTGATTCTGTTGAAGGCCTCAAAAAAAGCTGGTTCCACCTTCGTCCAGTGGAAATGTGAAATGACACTATAACTCCTCGTTTGTGTGACTGCTGTCTTTACAGTGTTCTGAAATCAAAAACAGAGAGACAGAAAGTATAAGCAAGTGTGCTGAGGTTGATGAATTTAATTTGCTGTTGAAGAGGGGACTATTATGCACTCTGGATGTGAGTTTGTGTGACTCACTATTAACACACTCTTAAGACTCAGCCTGGAGCAGTATTGTAGAGCCGTCTCAGTGTTATTTTCCTTTGTAATAAACAATGATTACAAAAAAATGGTTCAGCTGTTCAGCTGCACTGGCAGTGGCTTTTAGCTGATTTAGAGATTCTAACAAAATGGCCTCTCTCTCATCTGTGCTGTTACATAAGGCTCTGGAAGCCCAACAGCGAACAGCAAGCAATAAGATGTTTAGATGAAATATGAGCACACTGTACAAAGACATCTCTGTATGTTGTAGTAAAGACAAATTCAGTAGCAAGTGGCCAGATTTGAAGCATGTGAGGTAATTTACCAGTGTTATTGTTAGGACAAAAACACAATCTTTGGATTCATTTATTCAGCTAAAATTCTCCATGGATTTCTGAATCTTTTTTCAACAACGCAGAGCCTTTGCTCTAATTGATTCCACTCGATGTGAGGGCTGATATGCTGCGTGAAAGGAAGGGGAGGCAAACATAACACAACCAAATCTGCGGTAGAGAGCATGTGAAGAAGCCATGGTACCTGAGACTCTGTTGCATAACTCCTCGTGCACATGCTCTGTGTCCCGGCTGAACAGAGAGATGATATCATCCTCCAGCTCCTCCACCACTGTCTCACACTGAGAGAAAAACACAAACACAGAAGAAAGACTTGGCCTGGGGGAGACAGAGCTGAGGCGGCTCGGCCATGCATACACAACACGTTGTCTTTTTGCACAATGGCGGGCACGCCGCTTGCAGGGCGGTGACCATGTTTCCCCTCTCTGTTCCAAACTACCATTTTGACAAGCCGATGGTTACATTGCTGAACCACAACTCCTCAGATTCACTGGGATATTTCCTTCAACCACTGATTCCAGTTCAGATTGGTTTCGGCAGGAAGTCCTGGAGAGAATTTTGATCTGTTTGATCACTTAAATTACTTGTGATGTGAATTTTAGCTCTAGTATATTAAACAAACTGAGCACCAGGATCAGGTTCTAGCTGGAAAAACACAGAATCCTGAATCCTAAATATAGGCAGAGGGGGCAACCTCTTTTGCTAGGGAAACCTGGCCATATAGACAGCGTATGTATTATACTAGAATGTTATATTGACATTGTCACATACAGCACAAATACATGATTGGCATAACATTATGTAAAACACAGGTTGTATTCAAGTCACTCTTGACTTGAATGTGGCAGAGCTAGCAGCTGCTAGCTTTCATTTGTAGACTAGTTACAACCCAAGAGTTTACTGGGTGGACATTTACACAGCACTAAATCCCAACTGGTACTGCTATAGAGATTAATAAATATTTATACCTACTGACTGAACCAACGGACAAAACTAGCTTGCTAATATATGACACATTTGGTTTAAGAGGTAAGAGAGCAATGTGGTAACGTAGCTCATCTGAAACTGGATGGAAATGTCAGCATGGGTTGCCAGGTGTGCTGTGTGTCAGGACACACCATGACACGTTAGGAAGACTATATTTGTCCATGCAAGTACACTCTGACTATCAGTGAATATCAGGAAAAAGACTCAAAAAATTCAAGAAGTGGGCACTAAAACTACAGACAGAGACCAAAAGTAAAGTATGTATATATGTGTTGTTTGTATAGATATGTATGTATGTATTTTTCCATCTTTACACATAGTCAAACAGCATACATTACCAGCATAAATGAAATTCTATATTTAAATACAGTAACTGACATAAATTAAAAGCAGAGTTTGTAAAATAAATAAATAAAAATTATATTCTAGTCAAAAACTGCAAACACATGATAATAATAATAATGACATGCACTGAGAAGATTTTAAATTACTTTTTACAAAAACAAGACAATATAGTGAACCTCATAATAATGTTATGCCAATAACAATTAAAATAAGGTTGGTTAGGTTACCATAAACAGATACTTGCGTCTTACTGCAAACTGCATCAATAATATTAATATAATAGTTAAACAAACACACACACACACAGACACACACACACACACACACACACACACACACCGACAAAACCTTTCTAGCTTCCTAAAATTATTTTTGTTATATTTGGAAGCTATCTCACAGCAAGGGAAGTAGAAAAAGAGGAAGCCTCATTACATCACAACACCAACCTTCTAATGCGGTTTGGTGCCAATTCTATTGAAGCCTATGGGAGGCTAAGCACACTTTAAAGGGTGAAATTAAAATGCACACTGTGGGAAATTTTAAAATAGCTGAGGATAAATATAGTGAACAAAATCAACATATATGTTGTTTTATATATCTATAATCATCTTTGGATAATCTCTCAAAGGCTTCAATAGAATGAAGTTATGATATAATGACTCTTAATATAAAGTCTCCTTGTCTTACAGTAGCATTACGAGAACCTTGCAATTCTTCCTATTTGCACAGTTGATTGCTTTTGATTGGACAGTGATATAAATGTTTCCTAGCAACCAATACCAGCAAATACATGCCTTCCATTTTAATTAAGCAACCCAGTTCAGTAAATGACAGCCAATAGTTACTGAGAACTTAAAAGGACTGAAAAGGACCTTACACACAAATGTTATGAGGGATTAAGCCGGTTTAACCCAGTCGTGGGTCAGTAATTATTCCACAGTTATCATTAGAGATTACAATTCTATTACAAATACAGTCAATTCTATAGTTGAATTATGCACTTTTGCACTCACTGCAAATTTCAGGGCGTTGGATGCCTCAGGTCCGTTGAACTGGAAGTTCTTAAAGTCAGGGAAGTCCTCGGTGGTGCCGCTGCTCCTGGGAGCAAACCTCATGTACTGTTTGAACTGGGTGTCGGGGTCCACATGTAAGGCGTAGTCGGTCATGCTGTTGCACACCCCATCCAGGAGTTCGCTGAGGTGAGTCTCTGAGCGAGCAAGAGGTACCTGGCCACACAACCGAGAGAGAGGAGGAGAACATGGGACACGAGACATTGAACTGTTTGATGGCTGGTGCCCCGGGCTCCAGTCTGGCCTAGATCTTTTGTCCCATGACATTCCTCTTATTTTCCAATACTAACTCAAAGTGAAAGTTGGGTGAACACATGGTAGATCAAGCTGTAAAAATGGGGGAAAAAAATAAAATTAACCTAAAAATATATTAAATGTACACTTCCAAATCTGAGCACCTGTGTCAATGCAATGGAAACCAAACAACACAAGGATAACTCATGATGAGGAAAAAAAAATCTCTTTATAAGCCACTTTGCTGTTGACAATCCTCCTCAGAGTCTGGGTTGCCCCACTGTCAGCTGTGTTACACCACAGGGCTCTGTGCAGGTCAGCAGGGTGACCTCTTGTTTCCGTTGTGTTTTCTCCATCCTCACTAACAAAAGTCACCCTCAACTCTGACTTTTAACCTGCGTGCATACCCTCCCCACCTCTCCATCCATAGTCCACCATCCTCTTCCTGTCCCCCTCTTTGAGGACAAAACAGCGAGGTGGTGGTGTCTAGACGGGTCAAGACAGGTGCAGTGCCTTGCTCCCACCATCCCTGGAAGGAAATCGGGTGACAGGGGTGACGCCCAGGAGGTGAGGGGGTGAGGATGGGGCGGTGAAAAGGGCGAAAGGGGACACGGGGGGTTGGTTTACTGAGAAGTATGGTTGGTGGAGGAGATGGGAGAAGCAGGAGGCCTCAACAGAAGCCAAGTCCAGGGTAAACAGCTCATCTTCTAAGCCCCCGCACTGCTTCTGCTGCTTCTTCTTTTTGGACCATTCATTCCCCCTCCATCCTCCAATGATCAAAGGAGGAAATCTTCCTTGTCTTCTTTGGTCAAAAGGTGTCACGGCGGAGGTGGGGGAGGGTTGAGGAGTGGGGGTGGGTGGGGTTGGTGGGGGGGACGGGTGCAGCACAGAGGGGAGGGTTGAAGGGCATCTTGAAGCATAATTTTGTAACAATGTAGATATATTATTCCCTGACCCCTTTTGTCTCTTTTCAGAATTGGCTGTGTTCCCTTCCGGGCCAAACCTACTGATTACATTACACACACACACACACAAGATGTCAGGAAGTGACAAAGGGCCTCTTTGCCATCTGTTTTCCTACAAATCCTTCCTTTGCGTTCCCTGCTTCTGCCTCTTCCTCTGCTCAACAAATAGCTTCTTCACAGTAAAAAATAAATAAATCGAAGCAATCTAATCCCTCCGTCTTTAAGGTTGACCCCACCTCTTTAACTTCTGATTCATTCAGCAGAAGATCCCTTGAGCTTGACAACACTGTTGTGCTGTGGAGGAAAGAAGTTGGCCGGTCAACAGAATGTGTTACAGCACGGGGCCAAAGGTTAGAGGGCGAGCACAGAGAGATGTAGGTCACGCAGGCCAATGACGATGAGGTTCATCTATCAATCAAAATCTGCTTGTGATGACTTTGACACCAGTGGTGACATTTCATTCACTGAATGTGAGAAATTAGTGATTACATCTGGTCTAGACGTGTATTTGTGGGGCGGATATTTGTGTTTCTGGCTTAAAAAATGTCAGAAATTTTGCACCAACCAACAGTCAAAAATCCAAAAATCTAATAATTTATCCACAAAAGTTACTTATACAATTAAGCCAGAGTAACATTTTTGTGTCGATCAACCAATCATCTTAGCTCTACAAACTTTTAATCAAGCTTTCAACCACATAGCCTGGTAACCTTGGGACTATAATTGGTGTTTGTTTAGATGTCAATCTCATCTAATATTCTCTTATGAATGTGATATAATTTCATTGTTGACTGGGTCTTCAATTTTTAAATAATGTCTACTCGTGTACATATACTCAATACTGCAATCTGCAGTGGAAAAGTACTCTATTGTTATCAGCAAAATGTACATATTGAGCATCCAAAGTAAATAGTACTCAAAGGGAAAATCTGAGATTCAGAATTAGAATTAGGTTTATTGCAAGTAAGTTTTTACACGTGAGGAATTCGTCTTGGCACATTGGTGCATAAATGATGATGATGAAATAAATTACCCCTTTCAGGAATTTATTAATATATCATATATCATATATTATTACTATTGATGCATTGTCATGTAAGTAGAATTTGCATGTTACAACTGACCACACTGAAGCTCATTTTATCTATAACAATACATCATTTTTATAAGACAGCTGGTACTAGAGCTGTCAGCGGAACAAATTAAAGTTCAGATCAAGTTATATTCTTGATCTATGATCAAACCATATAGGAACAGTGGGACATCACATAACTGCTCAACAGTCATTCATTATTTTGAATTTGATAAAACTGAATTTGAAACTTATCCTCAATGTTATCCTAAACCCATTTAAACAAAAAAAAAAAAAGCTCTCCCACTGCCCCACAATAACACTACGTTGGCCCATCTCAGCCCAGGCTTGGGTTTGAGTCATTATCATGCCATGCTACAAAATGGTTTGGAATTAAACCCTTTCCTTGCCAGTCGGAGCCGTGTGAAAGGGAGCTGTCAGTCACAGCGTTGTTTGAAGAATGGGGCGGTGGTGGTGGGGGGAAGTGGCCAGTCGGGCCAGAGAATAGGCTTCTCAGGGATGCTATCCTCCATTCAATTCCCATTGGACAGGGAGCCATTATTGCAATGCTGTGGACAGCGGCCTTTCAATTTCATTGTCCTGGTGATATAGGCCAGCGAAGACCCATAAATTAATAATAATAATAATAATAATATTGTCATCAAAGCAGTGGAAGGAGAAGCTGAAATGTAATTTTGTCCATTGTGCCATTTAAAGCATGGACAAGTGAATAAGAATGTACACCATAAAGGTTTGATGATAATAATAATAATAATCACTTCATTATGACAAGAGGGAAATATTGAAGCGATTTGTGATTAGCTGGGTATTCTGACTGTAAATGATATGCATCCTTTGAATAGTATTAAATCGTAGCCTCGAGCTGGTTAATGTTTGCAATTTGGAAGAAGATGGAGAACAGGTGAGGCCTGGCACAGTGCTTAAAAGCAGAGGGACTGATATCAATTTCAGAGTCAGGACATGGTAAGCTTAGTTTAGCAGCAGAATGCACAATAGTTTACCGTTAGAGGGCCAAAACCGAACACTTATTGTACTGGTAATATGCAAAATGGTCCAAGGTTTCCATAATTGACTGACTTGCTGCACAAAAACACACAAAAATATTTCATTGTCAGAGATCCTTCATATTTAAAAAGCATTTTACATTACAAATAGTAAACCAGCATAAATATCATGTTTTAATTGTTTTTTAGCTAAAAACATCTGGCATACCAAATGGTATCGTAGCAGGCCACCCTTAGCCACTTTTGGCAGCTCTGGTTTAGCATAAATAAGGGAAACTGCTAGCCTGGCGCAGTCAAGGACAAAAAATTTCAGTTTTAGGGTCGGGTTAACAAAATATGGTATGTCCACTTGGTGGCAAGTGTGCATATTAATTAGCTAATGTCTAGTAGTCTTGTCTTATCTTTGTTCTCACATGCATGACCACATGGTCTAACTGATAATGTCTTGTAATGTGTCATTATGATTAAAAAAAATTAAAAATATTAAGATAATAATAGTTTATGACAACATTTTCTAAGTCTAACGCCACCTTTGGTTATTTGCGCCTTTGTTGCCCTTGTTTCTAGCCATTGGGATCTTGAGGAACAGTGTGATCCTCTGTACACCCTCCCAAGTTCAAAGCTCACGTTTGCCTTGTTTGGTTAATCTGTTCACAAAGACAAACCACACTACTGGATACACCGTTGCCAATGAAGAAATAAATCCAGTGTCTTTTTTTTGAGACGAGAAAAGCAATGACGTCATCACAATGTAAAGTCTATGGCCCGAGCGGGAACTCCGAAGCGGGACCAGCAGGAGAAACACTACTCTGCATATTCAGTGGGCTGCATAACCAAGAAGCTAGAAAAGCTTTTTGGTGCATGTGCCAAGCCCCCAGAAAGAACGCAGGGCTTTGAAGCTAATGTAACATAATGGCTAAACTGTGAAGTCACCATGTGATACACACACAAAAATAAAAAAAATTTGTGTCACAACCCTCACAAAATCAGATGTTTCACTGGTCTGATCAATTTTGTCCAATAACATTTGGAAATTGTAGAAGAGCCACATGATTTAATCATTTCATCCTAGTTCAAGTTAGTGGGGCGCTAAACCGGAAATTAGCAACTCGGCTGGCGTAAGTCTGTGTTCTATAACAAAGCATACGCATATGCAGAAGATCTGGGTAATTTTAAACCTGGAAATCAAAATGGGCAGCTTTCAGCTTTCCATCTTGAGGTTTGCTATCTAGTTCTATTTTATATCTAGGGTACAGAGACTCACGTTGTTCCCCCAATAATCAGAATGAGAATCCCTTTTATTGGCCAGGTATGTGTGCACGTACAAGGAACTGACTACGGTTTTACGTTGCTCTCAATGTACAAACACAGATTAATAGTATAAATAAACAGAAGAGTGCAAAGGATGCTGAAATAAATATTTTACGTGCAGGTACCTTTATGTACATGGGGTAGGTGGATATGACAGTATATACAGTGCAAAGATAAGAAGGACATGACCCTCACAGGCTTTTTCACTATGAGTTCCAGGACATAACACCCCTTGAAGCCACAAAGTGTTTTATTCATGTTAGTCTACTGACTAAACAAACAGGACAGCCTATGGACCGTGCTGGTAGCTGAATAGTTAAGATGTTTGATTCAGAGGCCTGTTGCATGTTTCCTGACTGTCTGTAGTATCAACTGTCCAATAAAGGCAAAAATGTAAAAAGAAAATAACTAGACTAAAAATAAAAACTAATTACTTCAAATCATTATGCTAAGCAAAGCTAAACACATCCTGCTCCAGCTCCACACATACATCCTTATGATAGCAATCCTATTATCTCACTCTCAGTAAGAACATACATTTCTCAGAATGTTAAACCTTTAAAAACCCATCAGAGAGAAAATGCTAAACCTGGATTCTGGATTTGTTTTTCTTATCAGTGAACTGCATGTCACCTCACTCAGTCACATTTGTGGGCCATGATATTATGTGTCACTGTGTCAGCATGCCATTGTGCATCCTCTCATTCTCAATGCATGACTTCCCACCGGTCACTATGAGATCAGCTCGCCGCTCCAACTAAGTTCAATGTCTTTGGAGGCCTTAAATGTGTCATTGTTGCAGCAGGCAGTTTTACCTTTTGTGCCACAGAGCAGCCCCATGCCCCCAGGAAGTCCTACTGTGAGGAGGCCAAAGAGCAGAGACTTAAAACCTGCAAATCCTCCTCACTGATGGCATCTAAGCTGTGACATCCCTCCCTCTCCGATTCACACCAGGTCAAAAGCTGCTGAAAAGGAGGGAGCTGGGAGGGCATGGGATCAAGGTTTGGCTTCTTCTGTGGCTCAGTAACATTTGATTGACCAA